CTGGGAGGGGAAAGGTGAGGACGCCCCCATTGCTCCCGGGGGCAGACAGACCGAGGGAGAAGAGAGATGACATACTGGCGTGGTGTGGGGAGGCCCACCCATCTGTTCAGGATTCCGTCCTGTCGTTGCTCTTCTCCCATCTTGCCTGGTCCATCATCTTTTTCCCCCTGTACCTCACCCCACCTTGGGCTTGCCTTTTTCTTTGAGATTGTATATCCCTTCCTATTCTCTGAGCCCCTGTCCACCTGTCTTCTGTCTTTTTACTTTAGATCTGTCCCCTCCCTCTGATTAGGAGCCATTGCGCTCTCTAGATGTACATGCATGAGTCCTGACTCTGAGCCCCTTGCTCTCCCCAACCGTCTCTTCTCTGGACCTCTGGTCTCCACTTTGATCTCTGTCTCTCTTGGAATCTCTGACTGTTCCCCTTCCCTGCTATTTCCCCAACCTGGCTCTTTCCATCTCTCCTCTTTCTCAGGTTCTGTCCCTAGAGGCATTAATCTGGAGCTAAAGCGGATTGGGGCTGTTGGTTCTTGTCCTTGAGGGGGGTTAAGCTGAGAGGAAAAGCTGGGGTATCCCAGGTTCCAGGGCGGTGAGGGAGTTTCAGGCCACAAAATCAAATTAATCTTGGGGCGTAATATGGACTTCCCAAGGGATATAGGCTAGAACTGGGTGAGATTTGCTCCCAACCAGAGCCATGATTCCAGTGACCCCAGTGTCCCCTGAGGTAGCCTGGACACCTCCCAGCCTCTCACCCCCAACCCCAGCTCTGGCTCTAAGTCAGAGAAATTACTCAGCTCTTGAGAAGACTAAAAATACCTACCCACAGTGCGGGGAGGAGATGGCCTCGTGGGCATGGTGCCCTTAGACCCTGCTTCCTCCATCAGTGCCCTGGGCCCATCTTTACATGGTCCCCAGAACATCTCACTGGGCCACCCGGGCCTAATGATAGTCTGATAGCCTAGCTCACCTCCTCCATCCAAAGTTGACCCCACCCTCTGGTAACATGAGAGGGATCAGGTGGACAGAGGGAGGCAGGAAGGCACAGTGGAGGGGGGCGAAGGGGGAGCTGAGATAGCTTCACCTCTCCATTTTCTAATTCCCAGCCCCTCCCCACCCTTTTTCTCGCCTCCTTTCACGAGTTTCTCAAAATACACCAGTGTGAAGTCAGGGGAGCGGGAGAAAGGCACGCTTGTGGAGGGGGCCGGAGGGGGTGATAGGAGGAGGAGGGTGCTCCTCAGGCCTCTCTCTTAGTCTCTCCATTTCCCTTATGGGCCTTGCCTTCCCTCTCCAAACCAGAGACCCCAGGTGCAGCAGTGGAAAGCTGGGGAAAGGGCAAGCATTTATTTGCTTACAAAATCCAGAATTCACTTTGACAGTGGGGGCATCAAAGGCTGAGAACCAACATCATTTGAACACAGGTCGTTCTTCCCAAACCTGAGATGAGAGCTAAGAGCCACAGACGTTCCTGAAGATGGATATGAGTGATGCTAGTTGGGAGCTGGGGGTGTCTATTGGATGAGGCAAAGAAGAAGAGCCAGGAGACGGGGGTCTTGCTTCTTTCAGCCAGGTTCTGGGCAGGGTAATGCTGGGGGCCAGGAATGGATCAGGCCCAAGTTGCTTTCCCTTGGTGTGACCTTGGACCTGTGACATCTGTTTTTGGAGTCTCAATTTCCTAATTCTATAATAAGAAGAAACCAGGCAGCTACCAAGGCATAGGAGACAGGTGCAGGGAGTGGACAGGTATCTTAAGAGAGCAGTTGAGATGGGAGACTCCACCCTAAGGGACACATTCCCTCACCAAGTCCTTGGTCTAGTTGGGGTCATTCAGAGAGGAGATGGGGCTTCTTTATGACTCTTGTTATTTTGAGATAAGGTGTCCAGTAGCCCAGGCTGGCCCTTGGGCTCCTGCTCACCTTGCCTCCATCTCTGCAGTGCTGGGATTGCATGCACACACCACCTGGTCTCACTTGCGCCTGCAGTGATGGCTGTATTCTGTTCTTGTATGACACTCAGAATCTCTGCTTGAAAAGCCTGCAAACAATAAATATCAAAATTCTGGGGCTAGAACCCATACCTGCAGTTTCATAGTTGGTCATATATCAGAAATCAGCCTGGGTCACATTCCAGTCTCACAGGTAATGTCCTACGGAAGGGAGCATGCAGGGTTCTTCTGCCCTATTTAATCATTCTGGAGGCTTTCATTCCCAGATCTTAGACTCTGTTCACTCTTTCTATTTTCCTCCCCTTGGGTACGCTCTACATCATCTCTTTTTCTATCCCCAGGGCCCCCTCTTTTTTTTGGGTGGGGGGACAGGCTCTCGTGCATCCTTGGCTATGCAGACCAGGCTGGCCTGGAACTCAGAGCTCCTGCCTCTGCCTTAAAGTACTATGATTAAAGGCGAGCGCCATCATATGGTTTCTTTTGTTAACACAAAGTCTGGTGTAACACAGGCTGGCTTCAGCTATATAGCCAAGGATGACCTTGAACTCCTGATCTTCCTGCTTCTGCCTCTAAGTGTTGTGGTTACAGATATGTTCCAATATACCTGGCTTATGTAGTGCTGGGGGTAGAACTCAGACTTTCCTACATGCTAGGCAAACACTGCTGACTGGGCTACATTCTGCTCTCCTTGTCTCACTCTGTAGCCCAGGCTGCTCTTGAAATTGTAGCAATCCTCCTGCCTCAGCCTTAAGAGTGCTGGGGTTACAGGCATGAATTGTCACGCCTGGTTTCTACCTCCACCCCTTTCTTGCCCACCTCCTTAAGTCTCAGGATGGGGCTGTGGCTGTCTTTGGTCCTCCACCCCCTCCCCCCAGCCCGTCTGGCTGTTCTTTCCTCCCCCGTCCCAGTCTCCCTCGCCTCCATCTGTTCTCACCCCTTCCTGGGATCCAGCCTGATGCCCTGGTTGCTTACTCGCCTCAGAGGGGCCACAGTGAGCTCTCAATATCCCCATATTTCAGGCACCTCACTGGCCTTAGACATTGTCCTCCAGGTCTCCTCACCTCTCCAGTTTCTAACATCAAGGCTCTGCCCTCCTCACCACACATCTGTGTCTCTCACTTGAATGCCAGTCAATTCCTTCTCTCTCCCTGAGCTTCTGTCTGCCTTCCTCTAGTTCTCTGACCCTCTCTCCTCCTTTCTCTAGGTTTCTGTTATCTCCCTGCTCTGAGGTTCTTACTCTCTGGACCACTCTCTCTCTCCCTGCAAGTCTTAGGCTAGTCCTCTGTCTACTCTCCATGCTTCTGTCCCCATAGCCCTTTGTCTTTCCCTGCAGCAATCTCCCATCTCTCTGGTTTCTCCCCACCGTCTCCAGGTCAGGCTCCCCTGCCTCCAGTAGCCTCTCTCTGGCTGGGAGACAGCCCCTCCATGAGCCCTATCCATCATCACAGACTCAATCCTGGATGCAGATCGGGCGGAGGCGAGAGTCACGCTGGGGAATGAATGCGCCAATCTCCCTACCAGGGCCATCTGTCCCTTGCCAGGACACCAGTCATCACTTCCCCTCCCCGTTCCCCAGGCTGACAGTCTGAACCTCAGATTCCCCTAGGGGGCCCAAGCCGGACTGCTGGACTTCACCCCTGAGGAACTCCCCAAACCCACATGTGTGGGAATGGGCTTCAGCCCAATAGCTGGGGCCTAGAAGCAGGGCAGGGCAACCACGGGGGCAGGGGGAGGGGTCTATATATGTAGCCAAGGTGGCTCGAAGCATCTGGTCTGTTGACACCTTTGCGCAGAAGAAGCAGGGCAGGGCAACCACGGGGGCAGGGGGAGGGGTCTATATATGTGGCTCGAAGCATCTGGTCTGTTGACACCTTTGCGCAGGCCTCTCCTTTGTACCTTTGCTGACTCAAATAGACTCGGATCTGCATCTGCGGAGGGGGTAGGGGACCGTCTTGGAGCTTGTGTTGGGGGCTTGCAGGCACCTGCGCTTTGATTCCGAAGGGTAGTGTAGAGTCTATAACTCTTTAGTGGAGAGGGGAGAAGGCTGGGGAGGTAACTGAAGATCTTGACCCGAGAGTCGAATCCAGGCAGAAGACAGCTGGACTCCTGGTACCAGGAGGAATTCCGACTCAGAATTCTGGGTCTGACAAGAGATGTGGGTTTTGTCGTGCACTCCTGTGTCACAGGGAGGAGACAACCTGAGTTCTTGGATGGAGGGAGGGAAAGACAGGTCCAGAGATGCCTGCATCCTAGTGAGGGCAGCAGAGCAAGATTAAGCCAGGAACCCCTGTGTCACCGGGAGGAGGGGCCTGGACTGCTGAGTCTTTGCTTCTCGCTGCCCCTGCAGGTTCCTGGAGAAGCGTCAGGAAGGCGCAGAGACACTGGAGCTGAGCGCTGATGGGCGCCCAGTGACCACGCACACGCGGGACCCTCCTGTGGTGGACTGCACCTGCTTTGGTCTCCCTCGCCGCTATATCATTGCCATCATGAGTGGTCTGGGTTTCTGCATCAGCTTCGGCATCCGCTGCAACCTGGGCGTGGCCATCGTGTCCATGGTCAACAACAGCACGACCCACCGCGGGGGCCACGTGGTGGTGCAGGTAGCTGCTCTAGCGAGCCCTACTCACAGCCTGTGAGGTCACACGCGGCCAGTTCACACTCCTTCCCAGCTAGAATCCTGCAGATCTGACCTTACTCCCTGCCCCTGCCTCGCTAAGTCCTGCCCTGATGGAAAGCGCCACCCCCTTTCCATCCCGGGTTAGGAATTGCCACAGCAGGATTAGTTAGGCTTGATACTCATTACCTCAGTCCATTTTGGACCTTGTAGCCAGTTCTCTTACAGCTGTGTCCCACGTTTATGTTCCTGGGTGACATTTATATACTTTCACTCCTATCTCAAGCTCCTTTCCAAATGTCTCTCTTCCTTTGTCCACCTGATTAGTTCTGGCCCACACCCAAAGCTCCCCCCAAGCTCAGATTTACACTATTTTAACTTGGGTATTATAGAAGCCATGCCCATGATTGGGAACAGAAAAAAAAAAGAATCTTAGTTTGGTCTGTAGTTTACCTGAAACCCCATCCTTTGCTCCCATGTAACAAGGAACACCCCTAATTTAGCTGCTTCTTGGCCCTGCCTAGGCCCCATACAGGTCTGTCCACAAACAGGAGGCAGTCATCCCCACACATGGGGATGTTCAGGGAGGGGATACCGAGGTAAGCAAGCAAGTAGAACTAGGCTTCTAGGCAAAAGCGCTTATAGCTAAAGTGGTAGGGCAAGCCATAGCAACATAGAAGAGCAGAGCTCCAGTGAGCTCTGATTGGTAGGTTTGGGCACGGGGAGGGGAACTTGTTGCTGATTGTCTGAGGCACTAAGTCTATGGGTGCTGATTGGTGGAGGGTAGAGTCTGGAGGGCGCCTAGTTTGATGTGTATTTTGACCCACAGAAAGCCCAGTTCAACTGGGATCCAGAGACTGTCGGCCTCATACATGGCTCCTTTTTCTGGGGCTACATTGTCACTCAGATTCCTGGAGGATTTATCTGCCAAAAATTCGCAGCCAACAGGTACAGTGGTGGAGTCTCAAGGTGGCAGACATTCAGTTGTGTATGGTGGAGCTCAAGGGTGTGGTCTTGGGTTTGGTTCCGGGAAATTGGGAGGGTCCTTGTTTGAGGCCATATCTTAGAGGTGGCCTTGAGTTCTATTGTGGGCAGGAAGGGCAAAATCCTAGGGATGGTGGGAAGATCAGATGGCTAGGACCACATGAATACCTACCTTACTGCATCTGCCTTGTCTAGACTCTTTTCCCCCACGTTTTCCAACAGGGTCTTTGGCTTTGCCATTGTGGCTACCTCCACCCTAAACATGTTGATCCCCTCAGCAGCCCGTGTCCACTATGGCTGTGTCATTTTCGTGAGGATCCTGCAGGGATTGGTGGAGGTAAAGCCTGCCCCATAAGCCTTGCTCCCCTCTCCGACCTCACCTCTTCTCTTTGACCTTGGTGTTCCCTCCCTAGGGGGTCACATACCCTGCCTGCCATGGCATCTGGAGCAAATGGGCCCCTCCCTTAGAACGGAGTCGACTGGCGACAACAGCCTTTTGTGGTGAGATGAAGGGCCTGGGGACTGGCACCTGTGTGAGGGGGACTGGCACCTGTGTGAGGGGGCTGAGCTGTGGTCTCAGCTTCGGTGTGGCAGATTCCAGGGCTGAGGGTCTGCTCTCCTGGACGTAGGGAGACAGGCCTGTTCTCTGCTCTCACTGTCTGCTCAGGTTCCTATGCTGGGGCAGTGGTTGCCATGCCCCTCGCTGGGGTCCTGGTGCAGTATTCAGGATGGAGCTCCGTTTTCTATGTCTATGGTGAGGGACTTGAATGCGTGGTTCTGGGTGTCCCTGGGGCTGAGGGAGGCTGGGTGTCACCCTGCTCCCATCTGTTCCTCCTCCCCCAGGCAGCTTTGGGATCTTTTGGTACCTGTTCTGGTTGCTGGTCTCCTATGAGTCACCTGCACTGCACCCGAGCATCTCAGAAGAGGAGCGCAAATACATTGAGGATGCCATTGGAGAGAGTGCCAAGCTCATGAACCCTGTTACGGTTGGTTGGTCATGAAGCTGCAGGACTGGGCAGGGAGGAGAGCAGTGTGCTGGCTCAAAGCTGTGCAGAGAAGATAGGACTGCCCAGCAAAAGGCTGGGCTAATGGGGTATGGTGATGCAGGCCTGCCATCCCAGCTACCAAGGGAGGGGCTGAGGCAGGAGGAAGAAATATAGTAAGCTTTGTTTCAAAAGTGAAAAGTGGGCCAAGCGGTGCACGCCTTTTAATTAATCCCAGCATTCAGGAGGCAGAGGCAGGTGGATCTCTGTGAGTTTGAGACCAGCCTGGTCTACAAGAGCTAGTTCCAGGACAGCCTCCAAAGCCTGTCTAAACAAGAAACCCTGAGAAACCCTGTCTAAAAACAAAACAAAAAACAACAACAAAAAAGTGAAAAGTGGGTTAGAGGTATAGCTCAATGGTAGATCATTTGCCTAGAATCCCCCAGTGAGGGGCTGGGGTGTGACTCAGTGACAGAGTGCTTGCCTAGCTCGCATGAGGTCGTGAGTTCTATTTTCACTACTAAAAAAAAATGGAAAAGAAAAGTAAAATGGCTGGGCTAGGCTGGATGGAGTTCAGGAATGGCAGGTACTGGATGTCGAATGGTACAAGGTGGGCCCTAACTCTGAGTTAGATGGAAGGATGAGCTTAAAAGCAGCAGGGGGGGCGTTAGAATTTGAGATTTTGCTAGATATTGTTGTGGGTATGGCTAAGCTTTGTGGGGCGATTGAAGAGACATTTTACGGGGCTCATTTATGGGTTATCATGGAGACCAACATCTGAAACTCAAGGAACCTCTCTGGAGTCAGAGCCCATTCTGCATCCCTGCAATGCAACCTTAAAGCTGGGTTTTTAGAATTCCTAAGTCCCCAAGAGTAAAGACATGGCCCATGCTAAAGGCTTCTGTAAGCTATGGTGGGGTGCCTGTAAGGACATGAATTCCAAGCCCTGGTAGCTGTCTTAGCACAGTCTGCTCTCCCCTCTCCACCCCCTTCCCCTCCCGCCCCTCCCCCACAGAAGTTTAACACACCCTGGAGGCGCTTCTTCACGTCCATGCCCGTCTATGCCATCATTGTGGCCAACTTCTGAGGTAGCTGGACCTTCTACCTGCTCCTCATTTCACAGCCTGCCTACTTTGAAGAAGTCTTCGGTTTTGAGATCAGCAAGGTTGGAGCAGGGGACTCAGTAGGGGTGAGGGAGAGGGTGCCTGCATCCCTAGGCAGGGATGGAGGAGAAGGTTGCAGTAACCAAAGGGAATGGGTGCCCGTTTGCTTGTTCTCACAGGTGGGCCTGGTGTCGGCACTGCCTCACCTTGTCATGACCATCATCGTACCCATCGGAGGCCAGATTGCCGACTTTCTTCGCAGTCGCCGTATCATGTCCACCACCAATGTGCGAAAATTGATGAACTGTGGGGGTGAGTGCGTGGGGTCCAGGTGGAGCAGAGTACGAAGGGGAGGGTCTGATGGACAGGGTAGAGGTGGGCCTAAAGGGTGTGGCTGACCCAACCCCACCTGAATGAGAAAGGGCAGTGTGCAACACTTTCATGAAGTTAGGTTTGAAGACAACCATGTGGACAGGGTAGGCGGTGATTACAGCCCCGTGTGGTGTAGAGATGACACCAAACTGGGAGGGTGGGGCCTCCAGGAGGCTTCGTAGAACCAGACTTAAACTTCGTGGTAGTGCACTAATCCCAGCACTCAAGAGGTTCGAGGCCAGCCTGGTCTACAGAGTGAGTTCCAGGACAACCAGGGCTACACAGAGAATCCCTGTCTCAAAAAACAAAACAAAACAAAACAACAACAATAAAACCTAGTCTGGGAGCTGGAGTGGAGGAGGGCAGGGGTAGTTGTGGATGGGGGACCTGAGCCCTATATAACCCTAAAACCCTAGATAGTCATAACTGGGGTTTTGGGGAGACAGGTCATAGGTGGGGACTTGGGAACTCCAGACTAAATGGGGACCTAGCAAGATGGTTGAGAGTGGGGGTGTGGTGGGTGTGAGTGGGGTACCAGGCTTCCTTATGTGATAGGGACATAGAAGTGAGTTAGGAGAGTTCAGAGACGGGGGTGTTGGGTCTTGCAGAGTGTGGCCTAGCCAGAAGATGGGACCACAGTGGGCCTTTTTAAGGCTGAGTGGCCAAAAGACTTAGGTCGGGTTTGGTCTTGGAAGGGGGATCTGCTCTGGTTTGGTGGAACTGGAGTCATGTCTTCTGTAGGTCAGAGGGGCCAGGTGGGGTCCATAGAAGGGGGCTGGGGTGAGCTCAAGGCTGGGAATATGGCAGGGTGGCCAGTGGGGTCACAATGTGCACTTGGGAAACACGGCCCTTTGCAGGCTTTGGGATGGAAGCCACGCTGCTGCTGGTGGTCGGATACTCGCACTCCAAAGGTGTGGCCATCTCCTTCCTTGTCCTGGCTGTGGGCTTCAGCGGCTTTGCCATCTCTGGTGAGAACCCCAGATGGGTAGCTGGGAGTACTGGAGTCAGCTCAAGCCCCAAAATGGGCTTCTCAGGAACTAGAGAGATGTCTTAGCAGTTAAGATTTGCCACTCTTTCAGAGGACCTGAATTTGGTTCCCAGCCTACCCAACTGCCAGTAGTGGATCATGCGTCTTCTCTGGCCTCTGTGGGCACCGCACTCACACATGCATACCCTCACACAGACATACACATTCATAAATATAAATCCTTTAAATGAGTGCCTCAGAAGAGCATAGGGTGGGTGGGTGTGATACTGCCAGTGGGAATTTCGTGTGACAACTGCTGACTTGATACCCCGCCAGGGTTTAATGTGAACCACTTGGACATCGCCCCTCGATATGCCAGCATCTTGATGGGCATCTCCAATGGCGTGGGCACACTGTCTGGGATGGTGTGTCCCATCATCGTGGGTGCGATGACCAAGCACAAGGTTAGCACAGCCCTTCCAGTGAACGCCTGCAACCTTCTGGTGCCCAACCTTCCTCCTCTCTCTTCCTTTTATCCATCTACCTCCTTCCTTCCTGTCTTCCTTCATTTCTTTCCTTTTTTTTTTTTCTTTTGGTTTTTCGAGAGAGGGGTTCTCTGTGTAGCTTTGGAGGCTGTCCTGGCACTCGCTTTGGAGACCAGGCTGGACTCGAACTCACAGAGATCCCCCTGCCTCTGCCTTCCGAGTGCTGGGATTAAAGGCGTGCGCCACCAACGCCCGGCCCTTTCTTTCTTTTTTTAAGAGAGGGTTGCTGTGTGTAGCCCTGGCTGTCCTGGAACTCAGTCTGTAGACCAGACTGGTCTCAGAGATTTTCTTTTATCTCTTAAAAAATCTATTTTTATTAGTTTTTCTGGTAATGCAGAGTGTGTGAGATATTTTGTGCTGTGGGATGTGTGCTGGTTCCCTCTTTCCAGCATGTGGGTCCCGGGGTAAAATTCAGGTCATCAGGGTTGGCAGAGCCTCTTCCCACTGGGTCATCTCACACCCCCTTTTTTTTTTTTTTTTTTTTTTTTGTCAGACTCTCATTATGTGGCCCTCGCTGGTCTGGAACTCTATGTAGACCATGCAGGCTTTGAACTCATAGAGACTCACCTGCCTCTGTTCCTTGAGTGCTGGAATGAAAGGTGTGTGCCACCACACCTGGCCTCCTTTTATTTTTAATCGTGCATGTGACTGCTGTGTCCACTGAGGCCAGAGGGCATTGGACTCAGTGGAATCACAGGCCATTGTGAGCTGCCTAATGCGGGCGCTGGGAACTGAACTTGGGTCTTCTATAAAAGCAATAAGACCTCTTACCCTCTGAGCCATCTTTTCAGCCTCCAAATATATATATTTTTAAAGACAAGGCCTCCTGTAGCCCACGCTGGCCATCCTCCTGTGTCAGCCTGCAGAGCTCCTGAGATGATAGGTGTACACCCTCCCTCTTTTGACCCTTTTGTCTGCCACCAGACTCGGGAAGAGTGGCAGTACGTGTTCCTCATCGCCTCCCTGGTGCACTATGGGGGTGTCATCTTCTATGGGGTCTTTGCTTCGGGAGAGAAGCAGCCGTGGGCAGAGCCAGAGGAGATGAGCGAGGAGAAGTGTGGCTTTGTCAGCCATGACCAGCTAGCTGGCAGTGATGAAAGCGAAGTGGAAGACGAGGCTGAGCCCCCGGGAGCACCCCCCGCACCTCCTCCTTCGTATGGGGCCACACACAGCACAGTTCAGCCTCCGAGGCCCCCACCCCCTGTCCGGGACTACTGACCGTGTGCCTCCCACTGATTGGCAGTTTCCAGGACCTCTACTCAACGCACCTCTAGCCCGAGCTGCAGTGCTGAGGAGCCCGACCCCGCTCTGTCTGTCTCAGGCCTAAGATGCAAGTCTTCCCTTGTTCCCAGTGCTGTCAACCAACCTTCTCCCCTCTCAGCTGCCTCTCAAGGGGGTGAAGCCGCACACTGGCAGTTTCAAGGATACCCAAGCATCCCTGAAAGTTGTTCTTTGCTTGTTCCCCCGAATGGTTTCAAATCTCTCCTTTCAGGCTTTATTTGGATGGACTGTTCAACCCTTCACTCTCTTGTGGTTTTGAGGTTCCACCCCTTTTTGTAGGACCCCAGGGATTCTCAGGCTACCCCAAAATTATTCAGCTGGTCCCCAACTCAAAAAAATTCATGGTTGTCATCTATTAGTTCCAAGGCTCTCCTAACCATTCTGCATTTCCCAAGTTGGTTCAACCAACCACCAACCCCGCCATTCCAAGGACTGATTCTCACCAGCGTTTCTGAGGGAAAATGGCGGCTTCAAGTCTCCCCACTCTTTACTTCCCTCCTCCCCTTGCCAGCACTTTGCCAGGCCTTGTCCCTTGTCCTTAGCTTAGTACAATGTCCAGGGAAATGGCCGAAGTGGCTCCACTCACCCTGTGCTTTTTCTGACTTAGTTTTCAGGTCTAAGTAGTGGCTGCTCCAGTCCATTAACTCAGTGGCTAGAAGCTGTCACTTATTCCCCGGGGTGGTTTCAGGATCTCCCTTTCCCCCCAAATCCTTGCACTTTATCCTCCTGGGTAGTTCAGACTGCCCTCAGTTTCTCAGTGGCCATTTGTGTGTCCCTCAGGGGCTAAATTACTCCAAATAGGGATGATTCCCCTCATAGTTACCCCTCTTTCAACTTAGAAATGTGGGGATTGTGTGTGAGAGGGGAGAAGGAGCCCAGGAAAGGGAGCAGGCTTGGGAGACGAGCGCTGTTCCCGGGGCAGGGTTGTGTCTTTGTGTCTGTCTGTGACAGTAAATCCTGCTCTGCCCATCCCACGTCCAATAAATGCTCTGGTGTACATATTAGGTTGTCAGCTGATGTGGGCCCAGACCCTAGCCTCCTCCCTCCCTCAGCCCAGGGCTTCAGACCCCAGCCTCCTCCCCCAGACCCAGGGCTTCAGACCCCAGCCTCCTCCATCAATCAGCCCAGGGCTTCAGACCCAGCCTTCTCCCTACTGTCTTTCCCTACTGTCTGCACTGGAGCTCCCAGCTTCCCCCTTGCTCTAGGCTGGAACCCAGTCCTCTGCTACTGCCATAATCTATACCTCAGTTTCTCACCTTTCGTCTGTTGTAGGAGGTGAGGGTCTCCCACGGCCCCTCCGCCAAGCACTCAGATGCAAACTCTAGAGGGTGAGGTGGTTTATTGGGAAGCTCTGCTTGGCTCTGGGGTTCCTCTAGGTGTTGAAGCTGGGTTGCGTCTGCAGTGCTTCGGGCATCAGACGAAGTTGGGAGACAGAGCGGCAGGCGACAGGGCTTCCAGGCGCTGTGGCCCGCGGGGCGGAGGGGGCAGCTTGGGCGGCAGTGGAGGCGTGGGAGGTGGCTGCCGCGTGGCGATGTGTGAGGGCACCCATGCGTCGGGGGCATAGAAGTAGAGGTCCAAGGGGTCCTTCGGGGTATCCAGGTGCAATACTGCAGGGGCAAGGGTGGGGTTAGGTATGTGTGTGTGTGTGTGTGTGTGTGTGTGTGTGTGTGTGTGTGAGCTGAGGATATCCTGGAGAGCTCTGAATGTGTGTGGGGGTTGGGGGCATCCAGGCTACATAGTGAAAACCTATCTCAGAAGAGCAGAAAGTGGGGGGGAGGGGAGGAAGAGGAGCAATTTCAGATATAAGGGGCTGGGACCAGACCATGGTTACCTGGGACAGGGGCCTGTGTTCTTTAAGGGTATCCTAAGTCCCCTGCAAGGCCTGGATAAGGAAACCGGTGGGAACTCACCTGGTTCGTCTCCGCTGTCCTGGAGCCTGTGGTGTGCAAAGGACCTGTGTCTGGAGGCTCGGCGGTAGAGACACCACAGCAGCAGGAAGACACCAATCAGCATCACTGTCCCCGCCAAGAACAGGCATAGGGCTCCACTGATGGAGCCTCGTGGGCGGCTGACCAGAGTCATCCCTGAGAAATGACACAGCCATTTAAACTGAGTGCTTCCTCTATCAGACCCAGCCCTCCTCCCTCAGACCCAGGGATCCAGGCCCAGCCCTCCTCCCTCAGACCCAGGGATCCAGGCCCAGCCCTCCTCCCTCAGACCCAGGGATCCAGACCCAGCCCTCCTCCCTCAGACCCAGGGATCCAGACCCAGCCCTCCTCCCTCAGACCCAGGGATCCAGACCCAGCCCTCCTCCCTCAGACCCAGGGATCCAGACCCAGCCCTCCTCCCTCAGACCCAGGGATCCAGACCCAGCCCTCCTCCCTCAGACCCAGGGATCCAGGCCCCAGCTCTCTGCTTTGAGATCCATGGCTAGGCCTCTCACCAGTCTCCTTCACTCGTTCCACCACGATGATAGTATTGACTCTCTCTCCTGGGCTGTGTCTCTGAGGGGCCTGAGGCTCCCCAGGGGCTACCTGATTGGGGTGTTGTGGAGGAGCAGGGGGGCCTCTAATCTGTGCAGAGGCAGGAGGGTTGTTTGGTCCTTTGGGGCCTGAATTCTGGGGTACATTCAGCTCTTTGGTCCCTGGGGAATCTGAGGTGGACAGGCCAGGAATGTCAGCTTGGATGGCTGCAGGGGCCCCTGGGCTGGGACTCAAGCCTGGATCACGGGGTATGGTGGCTTCCTCCCTGAAGGTTGCTGTTGGTTGAGTGGGAAGACTAGTGGTGATTTCCAAGTCAGAGGCCACAGCCATCTCTGTTGCATTTTGGTTGGGGGTTGTGGGGAGCTGTGTTTGGGGGATATCAGTGGGATTAGAATTGTGGGTACGGAGAAATGATGACTGTGGCGTTTCTGTAGGGTCGGGATGGGTGGTTGGTAGTAAGGCAGAATTTAGGGTTCTGGAGGTAGTAGGGTCATAGGTCTCTAGGGATCTGAAGCTGAGGAGTTGGGTGGGGCCAGGACTTGGTACTTTAGGTCCTTCGTCTGGAGAGATTTGGGGAGTCTCTCCTCTGAGGATTTCAGGGGAGTCTTGGTGTATAGTTGGCATAGGGTCAGTGTGTTTAGTTTCAGGAGATTCTGGGAGTGAAGCTTTGAAGGGATTAGGGTTTTGGATATCAGGAGTTCCAGACTGGGAAATTGCAGTCAGGTCAGGTTTGGGGGTCTCAGGAGATTCTGGCAGTGTTGCTTTGGAGGGGTTAGCTTGTGAAGCCTCCTGGGATTCTGTGACTGAGGTCATACGCTGGGCAGGCACTGGGGTCTCTGGAGCATCTGAGAGGCTGGGGCTGGGGGTCTCACTTGGGTTTTCCCTAGAGGTGTGATGGGGATCTGAGGGCGGTGTCTTGGAGGGCTCAGGTGGAACTGTTGAAGGGTATCCTGGGGTAGGCCCATCTCTAGTAGAATTTTCTAGAGCGCCAATGGGCTTCCTAGAGGGCTGGATCATCCCCTGGGGGTCGGAGCTCACAGATAGAGAAGCTGAGGGAGCTGCCTTGGAGCCCAGACCATCGAGGAGGAAGATGAGCAAGAAGATGGGGCTGAAGGGCTGCATGGCTCAGAGATGCCTCTAGCTGTGGAAGGGTTAGGTAGGAAAAGGTTAAGGCCAAAGCGTCCTAGAGCCACACCCGCTCCCAGAGGTCACACCCACTAGCTCCCTTAAGGAACAGGTCTGTCCAGGGACTGTGGCAAAACCCAATTGCAAGTCCCTGGTGGCTGTGGGGTGCTAACTGTGGTCACCCAGGTTACGAGAGTTCAGGGATTCTTGGGAAGTGCATTCCCAGTGGGGTACCTGAAAAATTGGGACACAATGACACCTTTCTAAGCTCCCACAAATGTTAGATTCCACCTTTTGAGGGCATCAGATGGCTAAGGGGACACAGGACAATCCTCTCCTCCCAGGGATCGTAAGACACCAGGACTGCACAGCTTAACACTATGGTTAAGAATGAAGAGCTGGGGCCCGCGCTGAGTCAGAGGGAGGAGGGAGACTCTATGGTCCTAAGAAGGAAGCTGCTGGGCTCTGAGTCCCCACACAGTGAAGGGCTGAGGGCCTATGTCACTTGTTCTTGCCAGAAATCAGGAGTTTAGAAGTTTTGAATATTGGGACCTAGAAGTGGGCAAAAGACATGGGATCCTTAGACCATGGGTTAGATGATGTCTGGATCTGAGTTCTAGGGACGTGAGGTGCAGACTCATCGGATTGTTGGGGATGGGGTCAGGACTGTAAGCTCTGTCCCCTGTTTACAAAGGATGCAGCTAGGGATCCAGTGGTTTCTGTGGCGGGCTGGAGATGGAGGAGTGAGCTTGGGTGGGACACTTGGGGTTATGGGGTCTCTTACCTGTTCAGTGGTGTTCAAGACAACAGCAGATGATCAGCGCTGGACAAAGAGACAGGCAGGGAGTGCTGCTGAATGGCGCTGGAAGGGGCAGGCACTAGGGTCCCAGAAGCACACAGGCTAAGCACCTGACCCCCTCTCTGGGGAATCCTGGGCGCCTAGCAACAAGCTGAGGTTCTTAAAGAAACAGAGACAGGACCTCATCACTAGGGCAGAGGAGGAAGGCTTTTAACCAAGCTATTTTCCCTTTGAAGCCAAAGTCTGGCCAGGTATGATGGTACAGACCTGTGATCCCTGTCCTTGGAAGGCTGAGGCAGGAGGATTATGAGTTCAAAGCTGTCTTGGGTGACATAGTGAGATCCACACTAGCCTGGGGTACAAGACTAGCAAGACTGGGTGTGAAAACAAGAGCCAGGAGTGGTGGTCCATGACTTTGATCCCAGCATGTGGGGAGGCTGAGGCAGGAAAACTGCCACAAATTTGAGGCTATTCTAGGCTACTGAATCAGTTTCAGGCCAGCCTGGTCTACAGAGTGAGTTCCAGGACAAACTCCAAAAACAATACAGAGAAACCCTGTCTCGGAAAAAAAAAAAAAGAAAAAAGAAAAAGAAAAGAAAAGATGAGTTCCAGGACAAACTCCAAAAACAATACAGAGAAACCCTGTCTCGGGAAAAAAAAAAAGAAAAAAGAAAAAGAAAAGAAAAGAAAAGAAAGGAAAGGAAAGGAAGGAAGGAAGGAAGGAAGGAAGGAAGAAACGCCTGGTACCTTTCTACTTTAACCTTACTAGACCACTTTGTCCTCTTCAGGCTAAAGACTCCATCCAGGCTTCCAGGTGTCCCCTTGCCAGAACCCAGGAGTCTGGGGCCCTTTCTTGACCATGTTCATGTTTGGGATTCCAAGCTTAGGCCCCTCCTCTCTGCAGAGGTAAGAGTCCCGGCCCCTGTTGACCTCCTTTGCCCATGGTGTGGGAGAAGGGTTCCTTCTTTATCCCCCCTTCCTGTGAAACAGTCTTATTATGTAGCATACACAGGCCTCAGAATTGCAGTGATCCTCCTGCTTCTGCCTCCTGAGTGCTGTACTGCACTATGGGGTGGCCTTGGGAGCTCCCTTTAAACGTGCTGGCATGGAGGATTGGGCCTTATCTTCACCATGTCTCAGTGTCTCCTGAGAGAAGGGGGAAGACACACCCCTGTGGAAGCCCAGGGACTCACAGTGGTGACTTCACCTGTTTGCACACTCCACCTCCTCTCTCTGCCTGGCTGGCTGTCTCTGCTGGGCCTGGCCACCCTTTCCACATCCTCCTCCCTCAGTCTTCCTCTCCATCTCCAGAGCCCTCAGGCCTTCCTCTCTTCGTGTTATTTCCTTCCTAGGGCACCATGTCTTTGTCCTGTTTGGAGGTTATTCCTTCCCTCTCTCTCCTCTTGGATTCCTCTGCTCTCTTTCTGCCTCTCTGTGTCCCTGACTTGTGCTCTAATGGTCCCCCTCTGCAGTCTCTATTTTTATCTCTCTGACACACCCCTTGTGTCCACCTCTCTGTCTGTCCTCCCCACTCCTCTTCTTCAGTACCAGCTCTGGGTCCCAATTAGTTGATGGCGGCCACAGCAGCAGAGGTCCCCACCAGGCTTCTCATTACCGCTGGCGGCTCCTAATGAGCGTGGGGTGGAGTGACCCCGCGCCCCCAGCCCGGCCTGCGTCACTGCCAAGGCGGGGGTTGTGCGGGTATATAAGGGGGGTATGAGCATTGCTCCTTGAGCCCACTGCACGGTAGGGGGGGGGCTCGCGGGAGGCTGGCGGGGTTCACGGCGGGCTCCCAGGTTCTGGGCAGGATGGTAACATCGAGATCCTGTCCCCTGTGTCCACAGGTGATGGAGACCTGCCAGGTGTCCAGGAGCCCCCGAGAGCGGCTGCTGCTGCTTTTGCTGCTGCTGCTGCTTGTGCCCTGGGGCCCCGGCCCTGCCTCAGGTGTCGCCCTGCCCCTCGCAGGTGTGTTCAGGTAAGTGTGAGATCCCGGACACCCAGGAAAGGGAGGCGACCCCCTAAGGGAAGGCGAAATAACACGCGGGGCTGAGGGAGGGCTTGATGTTAAAACAGTGGGGCCTGGCGGCAGGGGGGGTCCG